TGGGGGCAGGGATGGAGGGGGCGGGGCGGGGATGGAGGGGAGGGCCGGGGAGGGCGGGGATCTCACCACCAGCAAGGCGAATAGGATCACACCGCAGCTCCACACGTCCGCCTTGCGGCCGTCATACTTTTCCCCCTGCGGACACAGTGCGGTTGGCAGGGCGCATGCCAGGGTCAGGGAGGGAGTCACGGCGTGGGCCGTCCAGGGTCTGGGGGCCCGCGAGGGCCGGGGCGACAATGGCTACTTACCCGGATCACCTCAGGGCAGGCGTAGTGGGGGGACCTGAAGGGAAACGGGCAGTCAGGGCCCAGGCTCAGCACTGGCTGTCCCGCCTGGACTTCTGGGCTGTCCCGGGGGGCCTCCCTGCTCCCCACACGTGCCCAGGGTGGAGGCCCCACTGTGGGCCCTCAGGCCCTTCAGGAGGCTCAAGGGGCTTTGGTGCCAACACCCCCACAGCCTAATCCCCTGCATGCTCCTGGGGGGAGACTGAGGCCTGGGAGGCGGGGGCTTCTCCATGCTCAGGGCTGTCTGCCCATCCATCCTGGTCCAAGGAGATGGGCGTCAGAGGAAGGCCCCCGGGGCACGTCCTGGGGTCCCAGCCTGGGCCCCACTGCTGAGGGTGCACAGAGCAGGAAACTGCCCGGCAGCAGCCGCGGGGCTGGGCCTGCCTTCCGGGGCTGGAGGAGAGCAAGGGAGGGTCTGGCCCAGGGGGTTGCCTGCCACTCCTTCACTGAACCGCACACGAGCCGGGGCCAGAGCCAGGGGTCCTGCCTCCAGCCCAGGCCGTGGGAGGCTGGAGGGGGGCCCTGGGGCTGCAGGCCACCTGGCTGGGTGGACACAGAGACCCCTCGCGGCATCCACAGGCTGCGCTGGGGGCAGCAGCATCTGGGCCGCCTCTCCCCGCCTGTGTAGAACTAGCAGCGGCCAGGAGGGGGCGCCAGGCCGCGGCGGCTGGCTAGGAGGGGCAGGCGCCACTCACCCGCAGCTGGTCTCCAGCAGGCTGTCCCCCACCTGCAGAGACGCCATGCCGAAGTCTGCGACGCGGATGTTGTTCTTCTCATCCAGCAGCAGGTTCTCCGGCTTCAGATCCCTGTGGCTGGGAAGCACGGCGAGTGAGGCCGGCCGGCCTAGAGCCGCCTCCCCTCCCACACCCATCACACGGCACGGGGCAGTGGCAGCCCAGCCCGGTGATGTCACAGGCAGCCCATCACATGAGGCTGCCTGGTTCTCGTCTGCGGGGTGGAGGGACAGGGGTCTCTCAGGTCACACCACCTGCTCCTGTGGCCCCTGGGCAGGCTCTACTTTGCTCCCTGGGGCCCCGTCCCCTTCGCTGCTTCCCTCACACCTGCTCTGGGCGGAGGCCAACCTGGGGCCCGACCCCTGAAAAAGCCGAGGAGGGGCTCGGGCTCCCAAGCCTTGGGTGGTCACCTGGCAGAAAATGTCCTCATGCCCCTGAGGAGTCAGTAAAGGACGTGCTGTCTGCTCCAGGGGGACGGGGCGGGAGAGTGCAAGCATGGGGGGGCACGCCTGGGGGGGACTGGGGGCACCTGGGGCCGCTGCACCCGGGGTGTGGGGGCACGTGGGGGCACGCACCATATGGAGTGGCTGTGGCAGAAGTCCAGCGCGGAGATGATCTGCCGGAAGAACTTGCGGGCTTCTTTGGGGGTCAGCCTCCCCTTCTTGACCAGGTAGTCGAAGAGCTCGCCTCCAGACACATGTTCTAGCACCAGATATCTGTGGGGACGGGTGGGCGTTGGTGTGCACACGCGGGCGCCTGGCCCACCTTGGGGCCCCCAGCTGAGCCCCCACTGCGTCCCTGCGCCCACAGCAGGAGGGCCCCCCGAGGGCGGCCTGTGGCCCTGTGGTGCCCGGGGCCTGGGAGCAGGGCCGCACGGCCCCCAGCTGAGGGATGCTGGCCCAGGCGAGGGGGGCACCTGACCAGAGGGCTGCTGACCCCGTGCAAGACGTGGCCTTGGCCCTTCCAGGCCCTCCCTGGCCAGCCCAGGTGGGGCTCCCTACACGGGGACGAGTCAGACAGTTGGGCCCTCAGGGAGCCCTGGGCAGCAGGACAGACCTCAAAACAGAGTGGGCCAGGGGCCAGCAGGGTGCAGCCGGGCGCCCTGGGGAGGCCCCCCTCAAACAGGGTCTCGGAAGATGGAGGGGAGGGGCTGGGAGGAGGGCTTGGCCCAGCTGGCAGGTGGCAACTGCCCTCAACTGGGGCCAGTGCCGCTGGAGCAGTGCCGGGGGTGCTGCTGGAGGGACTGGACCCCCCTGCTCAGCCAGGTGCCCTGGCGCCGCCCCCACACGCTGTATCATGGCACCAGGCAGGGGCCCAGGGACCAAGGCCCTCTGAGCAGCTGTGCAGGGCCGTGGGGTGGGGGGCGAGATGGGATGGGGAGGTCAGGGGGAGGAAGGTGTCCAGGCTCTGGCCGGGGTGACGGTGGCTGGGGGGACCCCGTGCCCCTCTGAAGGCGGGGAGTAAGAAGCAGGCTGTGTCCGAGCTGAGCCTCTGTGGTGGAGCCTGAGGGGCTGGTTTCCAGGGGAAGTGGGTGGGCGGGCATGGGACGATGGACACTGATGCCTGCAGGGCCTCAGGGGACCCTGGAAGGGTCACTGAGCACACACCTCAGGAGGCGCTGGCGGGAGCCAGCGAGGGTGGTGGTCCCGGGTGGGTGTGAAAAGAGAGGACAGTGCAGGAGAGACACATGGGACAAGGGCTGGCAAGGGCCTCAGACACACCCAGCTGGCCACGGGGGCAGAAGTGGGGGGAGCAGCCGTCCCAAGGGCTGGTCTTGCAGGAACCAAGGGGTCAGTGGGGCTGGGGACCCTGGGGCACAAGGAGCCTGTCTGCAGAAGAGCAGGGTCACCTGGAACCTGGGACCCCCGGGACCGGCCACCTGTCCACCCTCGTCTGGGCACCCTGTTCCCGTCACCTCTGCCTGGCCTGTGCCCGTCTGGCCTGCTGTCCCAGGCCCCTCCCCTGCTTCCTGCCCCCAGGCTGGCCTCCTCGACCCAGGCTCTGCCCATCCCCGTGTGCTGCCCTCGTAGTGTCTCAGCAGCCGCGCAGCTGTGAGGGGTCTCCTGCGTGCTGGGTGGAGGTGGGCACAGCCCCGCACCCTGCACCCCAAACTCACGGGACATCACCAAGACACCGCAAGGCGGCCGGTCAGGCCGATGGCGGTGGGGCAGGAGCAGCCGTGAGTCCCCACTGCGCCCTCGTCACGGTTCTGACAGTGGCCGAGCTCCACCAGCCCGCCAGTGTCAGGACCCAGGTCTGTGGTGACCAAGGTCCCCCATGCGGGGTGTCTCCTCTCACCCTGCCCTCATTAAGCACTCGGAGTTGGCCATTGTGCCCCGCTGGGACCCTGGCTGGCACAATGGTGACACAAGAGGAAACTGAGGTACAGAGAGTGTAACCTGGGTGGGGGACTGGGCCCCAAGCCTCCCTGCTCCCCCAGGGCTGCCCTCGCACTGGCTTCCTGCCCTACCTCCACTGCCCAGAGCAGGGCCCAGGGGCTGAGGACAGCCACGTGGGCAGCCAGTCGGCCTGCATTGGGCACCCAGGCTGCTAGGAGGCCAGGTGGCCGGAGGTCAGGGCCGGGCTAGGGGGTCGAGCCAGCCCCTGGCCTCGTGTCCTGGCTCAACCCACACGTCCCCGAGGAAGGGGCCTAGAGCCTCCGCCCTCAGGGACACGGCATAGCGAGCCAGGGTCTTTCCTACAGTCACACACGCAGCAGTGGCAGAGCTGGACACTCCCCTGACGTCACCCCTGTGGGTGATCGCTGCCGCACCCCCAGGCGAGCTCGCTGAGACCCGACGGCTGGTGACCTGGGGGCACCAGGATTCCGCCCCAGGTCGGCCTGGACAGTGAGATGTCCGCTGGCCTCGGCAGCAGCGGGTAGTGACAGGTCGGCCACACTCAGCAGCCCGGGGCTGGCCGTCCCCAGGAAGGGTCGGCGGCGGGACAACAGGCTGGTGAGGGGCCTGGGGCAGTGACAGTGCAGCCAGCTGGCCTGGGGTCCCCAGCCCAGGAGGGAGCAGATGGGGGCTCAGTGGGAGTGGAGAGGGAGAGTGGGGAGGGAGAGTGGGAGCCCCCGGCGGTGACGGGGCCGCGAGGCTCCATGGGGCCAGGGAGAGAGGATCCAAGAGGCCCCCGCCCCTTGACCCCCAGCCGCAGCCCACTCCTCCAGGAGGCCCCGCCCCACTTGGTGGCTCTGCCAGTCCCCAGCAGAGCAGGCCAGTGACTGCCACGGCCTGGGGCTCTTCCTTCAGACCCCTCCTAAGACAGCTCCCAGACCAGCCCCACTGCCCGAGACCCCAGCCCCTGCTCCGGCCACCCCAGCTCTCCAGACCCAGCAATACCTACAAATATTTTTTGTTTTCATAAACGTCATGCAGCTTTAGGACGTGAGGGTGTTCGATGAGCTTCAGGATCGCAATCTCCCGCTCCACCTGCTCGAAGAAGAGAGCACGTCATGGCGGGGGGAGGGGTGGGGGCTCACTCCCTCACACCCCCACATCCACCCACCCACCTGTCCCTTCCTTCCGAGGCTCCGTGTCCCATGCCGCATGTGGGGCCAGGCTGTGGGGGGACATGGAACCGCTGCTTGCCCTGCCCTCAGGGGTCTGAGTGGGCCGAGCCCCTCAGGTGCCTTGGTGGGCTCATGGGGGCAGCACAGGGCTCTGGAGCAGGGCCGTTCTAGGGCAGGGTCTCCACCCACGTGGGGCGGCCAGCCGGCCTTGGGTAGGGGTGGGCCCAGTTACAGCCCCAGACTCCCTTTCACCGAGTACCTGTCTCTCCACCCGGATACCTCATGGGCAGCAGACTGGACCTGCAAGCCCCAGCCCCCCAGCCAGAGCCCAGAATCTGCCTGACCCCCACCTGCACTGCCCCCACCCCAGGACCAGCCGCGCCCCTTAAAACTGTCTGACCTGTCCCCGGGTTTCCCCCGCTGGGCCCAAGTCCCTCCCTGCCCCCAGCAACCAGAGGGGTCCTCACTGTCCCTGGCTCTCACCCGCCAGCAGCCCCCCCGCTCGTCTCCACCCGCCTGAGCAGAGCCCCCTTCACTGTCCCCATCACCGTCCCCTGGTGTCCCCATCACCATCCCATGTGTCCCCAGGTGCTGGGAGGGCGAGGCTCACTACCCTGCGGCCCGCTCAGAGCAGATATTCACGTGGACGAGTGAATTAACCACGGCGAGGGTGGGCAGGGGGGTCAGGGGCCGCAGCCGTTGGTGATGGGGGAGCCCCTGCTTTGCCACCCACCTGGAGGTCTCAGCCGCCCCACACCCCCATGCGAGCAGACGGAGACCCTGAGGCCTGGGCAGCCCCCTCCCCACTGAGCGTCTGGTCAGACCTCAGGAATTCTTCGGCCACGTGGGGCCTGCTCCAGTCCCAAAGAGGGACCAGACTGCCCAGGAGGCTGAGGGGCTCCCAGGACTGGGAGGGGGGGGCGGGAAGGGGGGCCTATCACCTCTTCTTTCCTCCTCAGAGGCGGGCGTCTGGTCCTCATTCTAACTGGAGCTGAGGCCCAGCCGGCTGTCTCAGCGGTCAGTACAGCACTGGCTGTGCCTCAGGCCCCTGGCTGAAGAGGGGGAAAGCGTGGGCAGGGCTGGAGGGGAGGGGCCGGCGCACTCGGTGGTGACGGACTGAGGCTGACTGACTGACTGATGGAGGCCAGGGGAGGGCGCAGAGGACAGGGGGACACCAGGGGCAGGAGGGGCAGGACCCACCTGGGCCGGCTTCGCTGCAGCCCAGCTCTGGGCCCCCCACAGCGCCCCCACCACGAGGCCACCCCAGGCTGGTCCCGAGGCCCCACCTGCTTCACCAGGCCCAGCTCTCGGCTCACCTTCATCAGCACGGACTCGCTGAGCTTCTCCCGGTTGACGATTTTGATGGCCACCTTCTGGCACGTGACACAGTGAATGCCCAGCTTCACGAGGCCTGCGGGGGGAGAGGCCCATCAGACCCCACCTGGGGCCGCGCCCAGGGCCTGGAGGACTCGAGGCCGTGGGCTCCCCGACCCCGAAGAGCTTTCCTGGGGGTGGCCACAGCCTGCTCTCCAGGGCCCTGGCCGAGGGTCCCGACCCATCCCCACGCCCAACCCAGCCCCTCACTCCGTCTGGATCCGGCTCCCCCGCCCCCCACCAGCCTGCTGGAGCCTGCCGGACTCCCGGGCCACCGGCCGCTTCCACGCTCCTTGGTCACTGCCCCGAAGGGCTCTGTGTGGAGTGTCCCTCTGCCCCGCGCCACATGCCTCCTGGAGCCCTGGGTCTCAGGCGAACCCTGGCTCCCAGAGTCCCTCCCCCAGGCCTTCAGCCGCCCCCAGGAGGGGAGCCAGGGTGCCCTTGGATCCCAGGCCACCCCCGCCACCCCACGAGGCCCCACACGGACACCTCCCCCAGGACACCCAGCCTCTGCCGCCTTGCGACCCCCACCTGTCACCCTCCTTTCTGCCTGCAGACCCCTGGACAAAGGTGTCCGACTCCTGTGCCCAGCTCAGTGCTCTCCCCATGACACCAGGACGGGCCCTCCTCCCCTGGCCCCCTACGGGACGGAAAGCTCTGCTAATTCACCTCCCCTCGCCTCACATGTCCAGGACCCACGGTTCTGGTTGCCGCCCCCTTGTCACGTAGGCACAGCGGGCACCTGCCCTCCCCTGCAGGGACACACCACCAGGGCCACCAGCAGCCTCTCTCCCGTGTGGCCTGGCCCGCTGCCCTCTGGCTCGACTGCTCTGCAGCCTCAACCCAGGACGCCTTGCGCTCTCCCTTCCCGAGCCCCAACCCGACCTTCCCCAAGGTGACTTTCGTCCCTGTGGGCATAAGGAGATCATCACAAGAGTCGGGGCCACCTCCGGCATTTGGGGCCTGGGTGCTGCCACGCGCAGAGTGACCCCTTGACCACAAACCGCAGCCCGATAGTGACCTCTGCTCCCTCTCGAGGGCCGCCCTTCTGTGAACACTGAGGGACGCCCACAGGCTCTTTTGTCCCAGCTCTACCAGGAGTCGTGTCCGGCTCCTGCTGCCGCGTCAGCGGGGACCTGAACGCCTTCTCGTGGTGACCGACTCTCGGGGGTTCTTACCAATTTGCAGGAGCCCTTCGATTTTACGGGAAATGAATTCTTTGTCACACGCACTGAAGACAAGTCCCCCCACGGGTCACTCTTGTGTTCTTTCCCTCTAGCACACTTCACCTGCTCCTGTGGCGTCAGGAGGCGTCCCGGGCCCCCTGGCGCCCCGTCACGCCCCGACCGCCCTGCAGCCGCAGCCTCTGCAGTGGGCCTGAGACGATGTTGGCTCCCTGGGGGCCGGAGCAGCCACAGGCCCGGCTGGGGACAGGCGGCAGGTGGGGGACCCGGACCTTGTGGGAGCCCCGTGCCGGAAAGCTCCCGAGTTCAGGAAAGGCCCGACGGGCAGCACGGTGCCCGCTGAGCCCCGGCTTGTGCCCCGGGAAGGGCTGCGGCTCCTGGGGCCTCTCACGGCTGCCTTTGATCTGGGGCTCGAGCCCTGTGATTCCAGGTTGGAGGATGAGCAGCGCGAGGAGCAGGAGGCAGAGGAGGCAGCAGAGCGGGGCCCAGGGGCTCCGCCCTCCAGGACGGGCTGCCCTCCCAGACACGGGCAGGACTTGGCCCGTTAGAAGCAACATCTCTGTCCCGTCCTGCAAGACCCCAAAGAAGGCTGACAGGCATCGAGGAACCGGGGAATCAGCGGTGACAGGCAGCAAAGGCTGCTACCCCAAGGGGACAAGTCCTACAAGTCCCTGAACGCCGGGGACACGGGGGACACAGTGGGCATACAGCAGGCGAGGGTCCTGGGAGGAGAGGTGAATGGCCAGAAACACCTGAACGTGAGCCCGAGAGACCCCACAGGGCAAAGGGCTGTCACTGTCAGTGCCCCGGGACGGCCGCCAGGGTGGGGCACCAGGACAGCACCCCGAGGGCAGGCGGGCACAGCCTGGGGCCAGCCATGCTGCTATAGTTCCTGTAAAAACGGGGAGTGACGTGGGAAGGAGGCGAGTGCGGCTCAGCCACCAGGGTCCTGAGCAGACGGAGGCGCCACATGACCCGAGGGCACGGACCAGGACCACGCCGGCCAGCCGGCTGCGGCAGTGGACGCCGTGACAGAGCGGCAGGAGCACGGTGTGTGCACACCCCCCCCACGCACACGCCGGTCCTGAGGAGGCAGGAGTCACGGGTGTGGGGGGTGGCCCTGCCTCCAGACATGGGAGAGAGGCGGCCTCAGAGTGACAGGAGCCTGGCAGTGACGCTCCACCAGCAGCAAGTCACACGGATGAGGCACCGCCACCATGACGACGGCAGTCTGCCGAGAGCCAACTGTGGGCCAGGCGCCGTGTGACGTGGGGCCTCCCCCATCCCCACCGTACCGTCGAGGGAACAGTGGCTCCATCACCCGCTGGTGCACAGCCACTCAGAAACGCCGGGAGGACAAAGGGCCTGGGAGATGAGGTCAGGGCACAGGCCTGCTGCCCTCACAGAGCTGCTCACGGGCCTGGGGGGCCAGGACGCATGGCTGGGGTGCAGGGGCGCTGCCCTGGGCTGCATCCTGGAACTCTGGCGGCTCCCTCCCTGCCTTCATCTTCCTCCATCTGCTGCCCTCTGCCCAGACAGTCCTCTACCCCCGCAGACTCCTACACACCCCTCAAAGCCCAGCGTGGAGGTGTCCCTCCTTGGTGAAGCTCCCCTGCCACGCTGGGCAGTGGCTCAGCCTTGGGTGTGATGGTCTCCTACAGCTCCAGGGTCCTCATGGAGGGATATTTGGGTCCCCAGCAGTCCTGCCACCCCCTGGAGGCAGGGAGTGGAGAGTGCACCCTCAGGAGCCCTTCTGAGCAGGCTGCGGCCTCAGCCCGACAGACGGCAGCTTCTTTGGGGAAGCCCATGATCGCCCTCTTTATCCAGCCCCTCAGCTGCTCAGGCTCATTTTCCAACTGCGACTCTGTCTCTAATTATCGTCTTTACAGCAAGCACGGGTGCGTGTCGAGACGGGGAAAGTATAGGTGTCACAGGCACTGCGGGAGGAGTGGCGGTGGATCCGCCCAGGCGGCGGCGCCCCAGGGTGCGGGGCCCGCATGCAGGAAGGGGCTGCAGGCATCACGGGGCCCCAGGGCATGGAGGGAAGGCATGGTTGAAAGGCCGAGGACCCTGGGCCCTGCAGGGCTGCCCAACCCGCGGGCTCCCCGCTGCGCCCCCGGCTCAGGCACAGGTGCACAAGGGCCGTAACACGGGCGCCCACCTCCCTGGGCCAGGATGGTCAAGGGAGCCGGGGACTGGTATCCGAAAGCAGACTCTGCACCCAGGCCCCAGCGCCAAGGAGTGTGGGGCCCTCCCCCTACCTGGGCTGGGGCAGCAGAACGGCCTCCTGAGCCCACCCACCCCGTCCTCCACACAGCTATCGGGGCCCATGGGGCCCACAGGTGGCCAGAGAGCTGGTGGGCAGGGCACTCTCTGGGCTCGGCTCAGCAGCTCTCCGCAGGGAGCCCAGCCCTCCTGCCCCCCGCCGGCCCCCCGCCCACCCTCACACCCACTGCAGCAGTCTGGGAGGAGGAAGGAAGCGGGCCCGTGTGCGGGGCCCCAGCGGCTGCAGGGGCCTGTAGGGCCAGGAGGGCCGGGCAGTCCTGGGCAGATGCCTCAGCTTCCCTTTCCTTCTTGGTCCTGGTCCTGCGGAAAAGACCCTGCCGGAGGGCTCTGAGCCCTCGGAGCTCCCCGAGGGGGGCTCGGACTCCTCTGCCCTTTGGCCTGGCAGGGGTCCAGGGCAGGTGACAGTGCTGTACCCGGGAGGGAGGGGGACTCTGTGACCCGGGCTCCAGCTCTGTAGCCTAGCGCGTCAGTGGGGGCAGTCTGGGGACACTCTTCCCCACGCAGACGCACGGGGTTTTCGATGAGCCTGGAGCACCACGGCGCACCTCATGCGTTTCCAGCCCAGAGCAGTAAGCCTCCCTCGGCACTCCGGGCCCACCCAACATGGGGAAAGCTGGGTCTGGCACAGCCCCAGGACTGCACCCTGACCTCTCAGGGTGGCCCAGCCACAGCCTGCTGCCCCCTAACCCGACCCCTGGGGGTCCTGGGTGCTCCCTCCACCATCTGCCACAAGCCCTGCAGACCCCACGGACAGACAGCTCAGTACCCCGGGTGGCCCGTCCACTCTGTCCTCTTCGTGGGGCCGAGCTGCCCCTGAAGTTCTTGACCACACTCATCCCTCCCCCAGGCACTGGGGCCCCATGGAGTGGCCTCCTACAAGGCCTGTTTGGGAACGCCTCATGTGAGGGTCCTGCCTCCCGGGCACCTTCCCCCTCTGCCTATGGCCAGAGGGCCTTGAGCCCCCCTCAGCTGGCCCCACGGCCTCCCAAACCCAGGCCATGCCATCTTTCAGGGTGCCCAGCGAGCATCCTGCACACTTGGGCCTTTTCCGGCTGCCCCGTGTGTGGCTGCTGCAGGGGGCTGGGACCAGACAGGGGTCCTCCTCCTCTTGGGGACTCGTGAGTCAGGTCTCGTCTCTGATGCCTCCACCCCGGCCCACGTTACATCCACGTCTCCTGAGCCCCAGGACGGGCAGGAGGCACTGTGGCTCTACTGTCCATTCCGCCACGCTGCACCGGGACCACCCTCCTGGAGGGATGGCATCTCTCGGGTGGGGAGCCTCCCCAGAGGAGGGCTGGGGTGCAGCTCCTGGACCTGTCACGCCCGAAATGACTCACAATCGCTCCTGGACGGCTGCCTTGGCCAGGCCCTCACTGACGGCCCCACGGTTCCTGTCACCCCAGGGCCCTCCCAGCGCGTCCCAGCCACCCTGTCCCAGGGCTGGGAAGAGGTTCTCGGAGCCTGGAGGTCAAGGCCATGACACTGGCTGTGCGTGAGAGCTCGCCTGCCGTGGGGCCCAGCCTGTGGCCCCTCACCCTGCCCTGCTCCACTCAGGCAGAACCTCTGCATCT